AGCTGCAGCAGCAGCAGCAGCAGCAACAGCTGCAACAGCAACAAGCCATGGCTTCAGGCAGCAATTCGCCGCTCGCCACTCCTCTTCCGATCAAGCGAGGTCGTGGCCGTCCACCAAAGAATCGCGACCCCAACGCCACCCCGACTCGGCCCGCTCCACCTCCGCCACCCAAGCCCACCCCGCAGCCGCGCACATCCCACATCACCTCGCCGCGTCTCCGCGCAGCCCAGCCCACCGCCTACTCGTCGGCTGCCTCGCCCTTCCAGCCGCCACAACCCACCGGCTACCCGTCGCATTCCTTAGGTCCAGGCATCCCGGAGCAGTCCAACATGTTCTACAACCCCATCCCCACCGCCATCCACTCGTCTCCCGTGCCTGGTGCCGCCAACGTGCCTTCGTTCCCACCGATACCGCCATTCCAGCGCCAGCAAGAGCTCCAACAGCAGCAGTCCCAGCTCTCTGTACGTGATGCACAACATGCCCGCGCCTCCGGCAGCCAATACTCGAGCAACGGTGCCGCCGCCGCCGCCGCCGATGATGCTTCCACATCGACCGTAGAGCCAGCCATCATGACCGCAGCTGGCGGCTCCATCGGCGCCGGCCTGGGTCAGGCGGTCGGCAACGCCGGCGCGTCTCCCGCCAGCCGCACACGGCGCAAGGCCGATGCCAACGAGCCCGAGCTCAAGCTGCCCGAGTCTCACGATCTCGGCTGGATGAACGAGCCCGCGGATGCAGACGAGGCGCAAACCGTCTACTCGACCGTGCTCGACTGCCTCCGCGGTCATATCGACACCACCGGCCGCCGACTCGCCGACTCGCTCGAAGAGTGTCCCGATCCAGAGGCGGATCCAGAGTATTACGAAAAGGTGGAGAAGCCAACGTCCCTCTCGGCCATCTCGCAACGCATCCGCGAGCGCGAGTATCCCAAGGCCACCGACTTTGAGATGGACGTGCTGCAGCTCTTCGAGAACGCCCGCAGACTTCATGCCATCGGCAGCCAGCCCTACGCAGATGCCGTCGTCCTCCAACGCTACTACCACGAGCTTACCAAGGTGCGGCCAACCAAGCGCGAGCCCATCACCGCCAAGCACGTGCTCGCCGCCGCTGCCCAAGCAGACGCCAGCAGGCACTTCTCCTCCATCCCGCATGGCCCGCTCTACGCAAGCGCCGGCTCGCACGGCGATCTCACCACCCGCATCAGCAGCAAGTCCAAGACGTACTACGAGCACCTCAACCTCAAAGGCAAGGCATTCCGCGTCGGCGACTGGATCCACCTCATCAACCCGTCCGATCCCACCAAGCCCATCGTCGCCCAGATCTTCAAAGTGTTACGGCGCGAAGACGACGATCCCGACCAGGGCTGGGTCACCGTCTGCTGGTACTACCGCCCCGAGCAGACGTTCCACCCGGCCTCCAAGCGCTTCTTCAAGGACGAGGTGGTCAAGACGGGCTACTTTGCGGACCACCACATCGAGGACATCCTCGAGAAGATCATGGTCATGTTCTACACAAAGTACATCCGCGGTCGGCCGAAGCCCGAGTACTGGGATCCGCGCAGCCCGCTCTACGTCACCGAGTCGCGCTACAACGAGCAGCAGCGCGTCTTCCACAAGATCAAGAGCTGGGCGAGCTGCGTGCCCGAGGAGATCCGAAAGGTGGAGACGCCCATGAACTTTTTCGACAAGGCCATCGCCCCGCCCGCCAAGGAGGAGTCGCCCTTCCTGCGCGGCGTGCAGGGTCCCGGTGCGCTGCGCGACGAGGATGCGTCGAGCGGCGAGGGCGCCGAATTCCCCGACCTCTTTAAGGACGCTCTCGACGACTTCCGGCCGAAAAAGAAGGGCCGCGCACCCGATGGCTCCGAGGCGGCCGAAGCAGCCGGCGACGCCTTCACCCGACTCGCCTCGCTCGTGGCGGCACGCGTGACTCCCGACCACTACTTCCGCCTGCAGCAGCTGCTCTCCACCCCGCAAGCTGCTACGCTCGACATGGCGCAGCTCAGCACCGAGCTCGGCGGCGTGGATGCCGAGCTGCTCTCGGAACTGCGCAATGCCGCCGTCGCTGCAGGCGTCGCTTCGGCTGGCATCGAAAGGGTCGCCTCGTCCAACTTTGCCGACGTGGCCAGCGGCATGACGGGCCAGCAGGCGGATGCTAGCGCGCAGGCTCAGCCGCCGACGATCGGCGTCGTGGATCTGGTGCGCTCACAGCGCGGCGAAGGATTCTACGCCTCGCT